TCAGCCTCTGTCGTGGGCAATACCAAAAGAGCTCAAGGTACTTACTCTTCAGTTCTGATGGGTTCTAAGGCAGCTCATAAGGCTGTCATACAGGCCTGGCAGCAAAATTAAGTTGTTCTTATTCCAGGTTCAACAATGTTTTCCTGCCATAGGAATCCTTGAAATAAAATTCCCTATCCAAAATTGCACCCTCCTGTGGTTATCAGACAAAATAAACTGAGCACAGCTGACTGAAATTATTCTGATTCAATTATTTCATGAACACTTCAACCAACCACATTTATCAGCCTCCTAAACTCATAAATCATAGCAATCTCTGTTGGGAAATTCAAAATTGATGTGGCCCTGCCTGAATCAGAGAAGGCAGTAGGCATCTGACAGCCTTGAGGAGCAGCCTTGTGTGAGTTGATTGGAATTTCTAGCAGTATTAATCTTAATAACCTCAGGTAGCTTCCTCCCAGCAGCCAATGTCTTTCCACACAAGCGGTGACGGAGGGAGCACTGCAACAATTACCCCTCGTTCTCTCCAGGTGACTCTCTTTTCTGATGAATATGAACACGTCAGTCATAATCAGACTTCCTCCATACCCCTTCCCAGCTCTCAGTAATGACCAGTCCAAAGCCTGTCGATTTTAAATTGTGATTTGAGCCTTGAGGTATAGGACACAGAAACAGAAACCAGAATACCTCCTGATAAAGCAGCACGAAGACTTAAAAACAAAAGCAGCTTTTTCCTCTGCCTTAGAAGAAGTGCCTGTGAACTGCAATAGAAAAATGTACAGCTTTTATCCAAGTCATTCACACAATAGATTGAAGATATTCAAATTGTATTAACACTGAAAATAGATGATTAAAACATAGATCAGAAATATGCATCCATCTAGGAAACTGAATCCAAGTAACTGTCACTCACAACTGACAGCATGGTCAGAACAGTTGTCGAAGCTCTCTGGTGTTTGCTTTGCGACAGATTAAACAGCTTCCACTGTGACGAAGCTTTCATTTGTGCTTTCCTTAACAGACTTTCCAATATTAAGACATAGCAGATTTCTCCCATTTCACCCAGATTGACTTCTAAGGAAAAAAAAAGGCAACATCGAAGCATCTATGGCTCCATCCACCTACCAGCTGCTACTGGCAGACATGTACCCACTCAAGCCTAACTCTTTTGTAGTTGAAAATAAATGTGTTATACAGCAACTCTCATGACAATAAGGAAACATCCTTAAGAAGATGCTTTCCTGTTTGTGCTGGTATATCATTATCCTGAGTAACATAATCCTTTTTTTTGGAAGCAATTTTAGATAGGTAACTTCTGCTCAAAATGCTGATATGTATATACTGAGACATGGCTGGAAGTACTAAAATGAGTGCTTTACTCCACAAACTACATGCTGGAAAACAGATCATTCTTATTCACCATCTTTGAAAAGTCAAGTCCCAGGCATTCTCCCCACCTGCTATTTTCCAGCCAGAGACAAAATTGGTTCATTACTTGCTTTAACAGAAACTCTTTCCAATGATGAAAAACATTTGCAGTTTTTTTTCTTCAAGTGTGTTTGAAGACAAGTTCAACTTACCATTCTATATGATATTCCACCCATCCTCTTTGGAAAACAGCACGCTGTAAGGGAAATCATACAAACTGTTGGGCTATAATTCTGGCTATTCCATGTAATAAAATGGATAATCCACACTTTGCTGCATGAATGGGATTGTGTAAATTCTGATATTTGCTAGTATTTTGACTGATGTTTATAAAAAAAGCTCACGTAAAAACACACAAACAAAACATTCATAATTTGGCTAACATTTCCTTATCCAACTCCATGCACTGCTGTTCCACATAACTCCAAATATCAGTACCATTTCTGCTATTTGCCAGTCTGTCTTGTCTTCTGAATCCTTCACAAATTTTTAGAAACTGGCAGTGGCTCAGTGAATTTGTCTGCCAAGTCTATTGCCACCCCAGGATTCAGCTAACCTGGATTTACCAATTAGGATGTGGTATCTTTGGGTTTTGCAAGGTTTTCTACATTCTCCTCAATTCATTCTGTTTAGGAGCTTTTCCATAGCTCCTCATGCCAAAATCCTGAACTCTGGGCAGCATTGGAATAAATGGACAATTTGCTGAGAAGGTACATTACAGGTCTTCCCTGCTCAGCCCAGCTGCTTGGCAGCTGTTGCTCTAGCTCCAGGGCAACAGCAACCACTTGCCACACATATCCACACTGGGAGCTTGACTCCTGGATTTAGTAAGACTCATTCATCTCTTTCTCCCCAGAGCTATCTTCTGTGCTGGAGCACTAAAACCCCTTTACGAAGCTGGAGCTGCCACAGCACGAAAAGCTGTCGTGTCAAAACAAGTTTTCTCAAGAATAGCTCAGAATTCTGTAAGGTAAGTTAGTGTGGGCCTCAGATACTTTATTAATCACATCCGATATCTTGAGATGTTCTGACTACGACACAACCTTGAAAACAGGGGGATAAACAGTGTCTGTCATAAACAGATGCTTCTGCAGATTTAACTAGTGTGACTCAAGATTAACAGCCTACTCGAAATTTTCTTCCTGCCTCTCAGGTTACTGCTCCCTCAGGTTAATTACCCCATCTGACAACTGCACTGAAAGGGACAACAACCGCTCATGTGTGCAGTTGCAACCTGATATCTGCTAAAAATCCTAATCCCCTAAAACATACATGTTCGGACTAATAACTTATGGATCAACAACTAACCCATATGAACCATCTTCAATATCAGAACTAAAATGCTGCAACATAAAATGGCAATTCTCTAACACTTAAATCAGTTAACACGGAAAATTAACATGGCAGAAATTCAAGGACTTTTAATATAACAGCCAAAAGAAGCAAATAATGTTGGGGTTTTTTTACTCCTTACCCCTGTACCCTTTTCTTTACTTCACTTACTGCCAATTTCTTCCGTCTTTCCTATTTCTCTTTTCCGAGTGATCCAAATTTCCCTGATCCTTTTTCAATTCACTTTTCACTCTGTATTTGTCAGTCTTTCTTTTACTTTCTTGTCTCCTTTGTCATTTACTCCAGATCTCTGTGTGTCATTTTCTTCTCACTTCACTAGCTTCTCACTGACCAAAGTGGCAGGTGGAATGAGAAGCAGCAATGTGCAAATTGTTTTGGAGAGTATCCACAGCTTCGCACCTTGCAGCTCCCCTTTATGGCGAGGCCAGGCTTCGTTAAAAACTGATTTGCAGTTTTCTCTCGGTCACTTCACAGGCTTTCTGCAGCCTCAGAATGACACTTATACCTCAGGCACCACAACAAAACTTTATGCGCTTTCTTCATATCCTCTAGAAAAAAAAAAAAATACCCTGGACATCCTCTGTGAAGCCAAATGGAAGCTCTACAGCATTACGAACTCATGTCCAAATGCTGATCTTAATTATTGTTACCTACTTCTCACTGCTTCACAGCAATGTCAAAGACGTATCTACCCAGTAGTGTCTTACCACGCCAGACTACAGGCAGAAGATACTGTTGAAGTCCATCTTAAACTAGCTGCAGAATTTCAGTCTCAAACACTGCAAGAGGTACCAGGCTGAAAGATTAAGAAATTCCAAATGAAGACAAAAATACAGAACTAACGCTATCTGTTGTCTGTTGGAAAATAAAATGTTCTGAAAGCTTTATTCTTTACAAAGCACTGCTTTCAACTAATTTTAGTGTTGTACGTGATCCAGATCACATGGCTTCTTCTTTCCATTCAACTTTGTGAATCAAAAAGGTGTAAGGACAACTGGTCTAGAGCAAACATCAAGTCTATCCAAGCCATCCAATACATGTTCTTCATTCATTCTAATGTTGAGAAGCTATTCATTAACTTCATGGGCTTCAGTATAGGTCAAGCTAATTTTAGCACTAACACCACAGGCAAAGTTCAGGTCCATATTGAGAGGTGTTGTTTTTTGGCATTTGGTGGTGGGTTGGGTTTTTGGTTTTTTGTTAAGTTTTTTTTAATTTTAAATTAGTACCATTTTAGTTCAAGTAAAACAGATTGTTATTTAAAGCTTCTTATTAAATGGCCAAGACTCGTATTGACTTGGATCAGTTTCACTTAGATCATGCTCAAAACCTTTAAAAAATATTATCAATTCCCTTCTTCTTCAATAATTCACTTTCTGTGAAATAAAAATACCACATTTCAAGCATTTTTTTAATTCTACACCAGACACATATATTCAATTGGTGACAAAGAAAAGATTTTCAGCACCTGGAATAAAACAAATTTTTAGATGGCAAGACTGACAATGACATTTTTAAGGAATACTATAACTCACTTCTTCAAAATCAAGACCTATTAAAGCTTCTTATCTGGACACGGTCTGTAAAGAAAGAAAAGTAATTTAAGAGGTGTTTAAAAACACAACAATTTTGTGCTTACCAATGTTGATATGTGACTGTATAAACAGCATTCTCTGATATACTGAAACAACCCACAGCTGTGAGATAAATCAGACCGTGATTTCAACTTCCAAAGCAGAGATGGACTCCTTGCTGTACAGAAATCTGTTTGCCTTCACAGTCTTATTGCCAAGGAGTATTTTGCAACAAGATAGTTTCCAAAAACAACACTGGGATTCTGTAAGAAATTCATCTGAGATATGAGTGTTTTCTGAAATTCCCTAAAACACACCTTACAACAGAAGTAAACATACAGAGAGAAACATGCAGGAGCAATGTAAGAGACTATTGTTAACTTCTTTTTTCTACCTCTACTGGCAAATAGCCCATGTCCAGGGAGGTAATTAAAGACTGGACAAGCACACAGGGATTCTCTGCCAGTACTCTTTGTAGTGTCCAGCAATTGAAGGTTCAAAAAGATCTTCTAAGCCAGAGATGCTGCCTTTATATTTAGCAACCTTTAATGGATTCATCTTTCAAGTACTGGTTCAGTTACTTTCAAGTCATGTAAACTTCAACATTAATGAGAAATTTTTTTCTCTTTGTGCAGTTTTTTTGGGTTTTTTTTTGCAGGGAGAAGTGATTGTTAAAGAGGAGTGCCAGAGCTCACCTTCATGCCTGTGGAGACCACCTTATTTTGTATGCTTTGAGCCACCACATGCAGATTACATTCAATAACCTCTAGTTCTGGTATCAGGAGAGACACTGAACAATCACTCCTATTCATCCTCTCCCTCTGCCACTTGTGATTTTATGGACTTTTATCATTCCCTCTCAACCATCTGCCTTTCAGTCTATTCAGTTATCCTCATAGAGGTGTTGCATGCTATTCATCATTCCTGTCATTCTTCTCTAAAATCTTTCCCAGTTTTACTACATTGGGTTTGAGATGGAAGAACTCAGAACTACACACAGCATTCAAGATGCACATACATCACAGATGTATAAATATATGTATTATTTTGGGGGATTAATAATGTTTTATTTTCTTTACTTGCTAATAATTCCCAACATTTTAATTAAAATTTTAACCTCTATTAATCTGATGTTTTAGAAGATCTATAAAACCTCCAAGATCTTACTTCCAAGTAACAGCCATATATTGGTGGCCCACGGTATGTAAAATAACTGTTCTCCCATATTAGTTACTTCACATTTCCTGCACTGAATTTTATCCACCATTTTATCATCCAGCCACTCCATGAAGTAAGGCCTTTTCATAGTTCTTCAGTCATATTTACTACTCTGAACAGTCTCTGCAAACTTTGACATATTTCTATGCAGCCCTTTTTCCAAAAGGTCGTGTGAAACACATGCCCAGGCACAGATCCTTGTGGACTTCGTCAGTAATTTTTTTTTTTGCCAGGAAATGTAATTTCTTCCTGCTTCCTATTTCCTATCTTTTAATCAGTTATTTAACCATCTTAGAACCCTTTCTTCTATCCTACAGCAGCTTGCTTGCTCTAACAGCCTGGGATGAAACCTTGTCAAAAGCCTTTCCTTTCTGAAGGTCATTTCCATATTGCTGCCAGTGTTGTACATGTAGCTCAGATCCCACTTTACAGACACCTGAAAATGATTAAAAATTGACCCTTCCTGCTCTCTTGATTTTACTGTAATGCATTTTCATTCAAATCTGACCTGCTAGTCCCTTCCTTTCGAGTGTTCATCCCCTCTCATCTTCCCTATTGAGTGATATACACATTTAACAAAATTAAAACAAAAGAAAACATTTCTCGGTATTATTTGTTGGGAGAGCTTTTCAGCTCATATAAGCTTACAATATTAAAGGAAATAAAGCCACATAAAAATTAGTCTGAAATCTATCCTGCATTTATTACATGTTAAAAATCAAGTCAAATTCCACACAGGGTTATGCCATTTCCCTGTCACCTTCACACTGCAAGCCATATACATTGCTAGACAATAAAGTTTCAAGAGATCTTTATTGCTAATGTGAAGAAAATTTTTAAAGAATTCCCCTGCATACCAAAGGTGTACTGCAGAGGTATATGTTCTTTTTCCTGGGGTGGGTGGGGTGGAGAGGGTGGCACACAGGTGGGACAGACACGACACCCAACAAGGCTTTGTGTCTGAAGATTAAAAGCTCTGCATATAAAGCACCCCAACCAAGGATTTTGATATTCAGACAACTGAAACAATACAAATTTGGAAATGTAGTTTTTCTTACAGTATACAAATGAATAGCTCATGCCTAATTACATATTGAAACAATTCAAAATAGCACAAGTTTAAAATCTTAACACAGAAAATCAGATCATCAGAATTTCCAATGAAGCATTCATTCTGGAGCAAATAGGCAACATCATAACACAAATACAAACAATAATACAAATGATTTAATTGGATTACTTCACTCCTATGAATTCTTCCAAGTACGCTCTTTAAGAAAGCCAGAAATAGAATTCAAAAGTCATCTTTTCTGGCTGTTTTGGACTATACCAGTCAGTCATACTCTCGAAGCGTGATCTCACTGAAGCAGCTGTGTATACACAACAAATCACATTTGGACATGTTTCGATCCAGGAGTGGGTAAGGACAAACAGAGGTGAGCAGCAGGCTGTCCCTCAACACTAACACCAACAGTTGCCATAGCAACAGAAGGAATCACTGTAAGAGGCTGGTATCGATCTTTCCATCCCATGTTCATTGCCATTTTTTCAGAGTGGTCTTACACAATGGTACCACAACCAACACCATTGCACATACCCAGGTTCTGAAGTCAAAGGGAAGTAATGGTGGTGAAAAGGCAACAGGGAATAATTAGTGCTGCAGTTAGGCTGGGTACACAAAGAGCAAGCAGCAGAATTTCCATCTGAGTGCAAGCTATGCCAGGGGAGGGGGGCTGTCAGTATGTACAGGCGTGTTTCACTGTGCCTTCCATCTACATTTCAAATTTCCTGCGTGATCTCCTACAGTGCAGCATCTGCCTGTTCTCAGCATTTGTAACAAGACAGTGACCAATGTCTCGGTCACATATTGCAAAGAGTAGGATATAGCAAAGGATATTTTGTGCTTAGTTGCAAGCCTGCTACATCATGTCAGCATATTGCAGATTGGCACAGAGCCAGAAGGATCAAAAAGAAAGTCTAAGTAGACAAATATTAAAGAGATTTTTCAGGGTAACAAAGGCATAGCTCCAGAACCCCTCACAGCACAACTAAATCTATAAATATGGGATAACATATTACATGAGTATATCACAGATTTTGGTAAAGACAAACTTTGTTTCCAGTAACAAGACATAACTGAGAACTGCATTTAGTTCATAAATTACAGGATGGTATTTTGTTGATACTACCATAAGGCTTAAATGAAAAATATATTCTAAAAGGTTTCACTTTCACAAAAAACATTTCTTCTGAAGACATGCAAAAATGGAAGATTATTAGACTGTGTTAAGAAAGCCTTTTAAGACCATTCCTAACTGTATTTGTGGCCAGAACAGTTAACAGAATGTAGCCCTAGTTAAGAGCAGAAGCCTGCTTATATAAGAAATATAAAATATCATTCTTGTAAACAAGTAGATCACTTCTGCTACATGCACCCTACATTGTCCCAGTCCTGTAACAGCATAATAACATTTCTGTAATTCATTATATTTGCATGAAGCTGATGTAATAAAGCAATAGTAGGAAAAGTACCCAGTATCTCCAGAAACGTTATAGTTCACAAAGTGATTAACCTCTGAAGGCTACGTAGCACAGCCTTCAGAAAATGCACCATAGTTTCCCCAAGGCAAATACAAAAAACAAATTAGAAGTGTCTATATCAGTACAGACATTCTTAACAAAATTTTAACATCTATACTTAATAAAAATAGATCCTGAAAAAAACCCTAAACAATACCTACCGGTTGTGTACATCAAGATAACAACTCCATCATAATCCAAACAAATTATAACAGTATGTGATATTTAAGAGCTCTGGGAACCCTGTTAATAACAAGTCTCCCATCATAACTTAAAGAGGCAAATAGCCACGGGTCTGCTGAGGACCATTCAACTGCATATACGCTATCTTCATGTTCTTCATAGGTAGCTATTACACTGTCCTGAAGGGGCTCTTTAATCCTAAAATTGAAAAAAAAACAAAACAAAACAAACAAACAAACAAAAATAGTAAGGATTTGTGAATACACTCCATTTTAAAAGCAATATCAAGTGTCACTAACATCTAAATATGTAAAATCCCATTTAAAGTATAAGAATGCAGTAGTAGGTTCTAGGGAAATGTTTTATACCATATGTTTGCATGTACTTATGTTTTAGATAGCACACAAAAGTCAAGTCAATGCTAAAGACCCCATTTGCAGGGACAAAGTAGTTCTTACTCTCAACTTCAGTGAATTTCCAAGTCTCTCTCTCACTCTCTAAAGCAAGTTAAACTACACTGCATGATCTAAATGCACTTAAACACACCTTTTTACCAACATCTTTTTTCTCATCGTGCTCCACCCCTTCTTCTACCCCTTCACTGCTAAATGTATTCTTAAAATAATAGACACTCTTAGAGATGTGTAGATAGGTAAGAAGTTGCAGTCCCTAACATCAGTCTCTCCTGCGCTGCCATCCTGGACCCATTCCCTCGAGAGTAATGGAATGGGGATGGAGGCACCACTCTGAACACTTTGATTTTTATCTCCCATCGCTAGATTTATACCAGCACTGGATTATCATCCACTATTGTATAACTCACCCTCTCACTGCAAAACCCAAGCTCCTGGTCACCTACATCACCAAAGACAGACAGATTCCCTTTTGCATTGCAAATACTTACAAACAGATTCAGGCAACTCTCTGAAGTCCAAACCACCAAGAGTCATTGATTGTGCTCTGCTAGCTGAGCACAGCCCTTCTTCCCTCCATTCACAAAGCAAATCCCTCCTCTCAGAACACCACTACAGCACATTATTCTGTAGCTACAGGGTAGGTGACTTTTCAGAGGATGACCTTAGAGCTCCTTCACCCACAGAGAATCGTCTCTGACAGGAATCAGTCAGCCCTTCAGTAGCATCCCTCCACCTCCTAGGAACAGTCTTGTACTACAGCTGTAATACTCCTCACAGAAGCAAAGCCAAAGAGCCTCGTGAATGCCATTCAATCATTTAAACAGATGCTACAACTAGAGAAATGAGGTGTTGTTATTGCTGTCTTCGCCCTTTACTGCTGGTGTCTGAAAGCAGTTCTGCAATCACAAAGACTACATGGTAACAGTCAAATTGCTTGCAGGATATCCCTGCTCCACCTAGCCAGCAGAGCCAGCTGTGAATCTAACACTGCAATTAAAATTGAATTGGATTTAATGAAGAAACCAAAAGCAGTCTCATACTGCAGAATAGCTTCAGATATGTAGTTTCAAGAATTTTTATAATTTACTTGTGCTATGTTAAAGGTCAACTAACCAAAAAAAGGTCATAGCACAACCAACATGCACCCTCTGGTTAATTGCAAAGAGCAAGCTTGGTTTGAAATTCTCCTGAATACCTACTTTGATGCAAACCATCTAACAACAGAGAGCTAACAAACACACACAGACACTTCACAGCCTGCAATGTGTTTTTCTAAGTTCCTGTTAACTGACATGCCCTGTTAAGCGAAAGTTGGTCATGTCCCCAGACAGCAATGTGCTTCACGCAGTGCTCACCCACTTACCCACAACTCCATTATTCTGAAGGTTTCAGATGTCTCTCTGGCTAAGCAGGGGAGTAATGCACAGTGCACATGGCTGTCAGGGGACACGACCGACTTTCAGTTAACCAGGAGTCTCAGTTAACCAAGGGTTGGAAAAACAAGGACAAATAAGCTTCTAGATTATACTATTTTCTGTATGCTCAGAGCTGTTTCAGTGCTTCATTTAAATAACACAGTTCATCTAATTTAATTTAGAGAAGTCATAGGGGAATGAGTGTTCAGGAAAGAAGCCCATAGATGAACTTCTGTTTGGCATTTCCATTTATAACTATAGTTTTTAACTTTCTTTTGTTTATACACTGAATTTTTTCTTGGGTACAAAAGTATATTTTGTGCCTTCCCAGAAAAAGAAAGCATGTTATTCCATGTCATTCTTCAGGCCACATGAGTTCAGTTTTTGGTGTTGCTTTTTTGTTTTAAATAGTATAGATCTGTGATAATATTATATATAGACTACTTATAGAAGTGATCACTTGGTGATCACAACTTGTGTCTCAGGAACAATATAGAACATCCGAAAGAAACTGTCCATGAGCATCCTTTACAAACATGATGAATGAAAACAGATTAGTCTTTAAATTATGTAATGGCTAATGAACTCAGAAGGATTAGGCTAGTGAAATGAGCAGAATTCATTTAATGTATGTGAAAGATTGTTCTAAAAAAATTAAAAAAAAAACAAAACAAAAAAACCAAAAAGAGCAAAGTTTTTTGTGACCTTACCCAATGCTAAGATATTTCCAAGAAAACACCTCAGATTTCTCTACATTTTGGCTATATGTGTCCTTTTTTTGGTAATCCAAAAACAGGTTGAGGACACCATTTTTGAATCTATATGAATCTAGGGTACTTAGAATTGTTCCTTTTCTGAGTCCCACAATTATCTATTTACTCTCGATGAAATTTTACACATCTTTTACACATTTTTATTTATTAAAGAATCAGGTCAGACTATTCTAACTCCCCAGATTATACATATAATATGGTTAATGCAAGAAGTTAAAGACTTAAATAAATGTCAGAGTCATAACTGTTAAGGTAACAAATACCTTTTAAATATATATATATATATATATATAAACAGAGTCTACAAAAATACTATTTTAATCACAGCACATACTAGTGGAACACATAAAAATCAACTTGTAAGTATCTTATGATGCTTTTGTCTATTTAGATATTTTAATTATCCTTCTGTTGGTATCAGTTACCACAATTTTATTTCTCCTTAATATACAGTAGGCCATGTCATAGCACTGATGAGTGTACTTTTTGTAATACTCTATTCATAAAGTATCAATGTTTAAAAGAATATTGCTATACTTTAATGTGCATTATTCTTATCTCAGAAACTTTCCATTTTGTAGTTATCAACTCCTGATGAAAATGGTCAGGTTATTAGCTTTCTTAGGTTAAAGATGTAACACTGAACACAGAGGACTGGATACTAGGATAGTCAGGTATCTGTGGCAGATTTTGGAACAGGGAGGCGAGTTCAGGAACTGCAACTTCTTCCCAGTTTGAGAAGATCAGGAATAGGAAGAGTAGCTGTATAGAGCTGGATATGAAGTTAACTTTCTTCTGTGCTACTTTAATATGTATAATTCAGGTTGTCACCAAAACAGATATATCTGTTTTTACATAAAAGCCTCAGGCTATGGTTATAACAATAGCTATGTATATATAGCATGCCTGTATGTGTACAAAACAGCTATGTATAGCATGTATAGCTATGGTATAGCTAGTTCAGTGTACTACAGGTGTAGGTGCTTGGCCTATTGATCCCTTGATAGAACAGTCTGTGTAGACTGCATTTGATAAGCATACTTGGTAATCACTTCTTGTGCCTGTCAAGCTCAGTAAGCTATCTTCTTCCTTGCCCTACACCTTACTGCCCTTTAAAAAGCTTCTCTAGTTTCTTGTTTTCCCATACTATTTTAAAGATTTTATTCTGACCAGACTAAAATTCCTTTTCTTTTCTTACATATATTCTTCTATTGCACCAACTGACAGGGCATTACACTCTTTTGCCACTAAGAATTCACAGTATGAAATGTGCAATCTCTACCTACATCATGCATAAATTTTAGACCTGTGCCCACAGAGAGCTGAAACTGGACTGTGTTCTCTTTGTAATCTTATTCAAATAGCACGACCCTGACCAGCTTCTATGAAAAGATATTTTACCAGATAACTTTGAGGTTAATTGTGCTACAGATTTGAGAAAGAAGCCTGTTCGGCCTTGGATAATTATTTTCATGTAGAGAGCTGTTATTTCCAATTACTTCTCATGCTAACAACCACTTAAGTTTGCAGTGCTTGCAATTCTGTTTTGTCACCACAATATTCAATAAAATATGGTTTTGAGTCAGCAAAAATCATTAATTCCTTATCACCATCAAAATTAAATCCTCTTTAATCTAAAAATCACTATGAAATAGAAGTGAATCAATAGAGCAGCAACAGGTGCTGCAGCATCCAAAAATGAATCCTGAAGAGCATGGCACTGGATTCCAGAATAAACCATGTGGACGGCCTTTCCCTTTAACTTCAGGAGAAAATTGTTTCTGGTAAGATTAGACAACACACTACTTGCTTCTTCATTCTCTTAAGAAAAACTGAATTCAAGTATGTTTATACTTGAACACAATTTTTGTAGATAATAATTGGCCATTCATACTATTCCAAGGATTATCATTTTTTTAACTCAAAAAAGAGCTTTCTGAACTGCTTCTACAGGAAACAGTGTATTTTCTTTAAAAACAGGAAAAGTGTATTTTTATATAACAGGTTTCACAGATGTCCTAATATGAAAAATAAATTAAGGAAGGTATACCTACTCATGAGGGTTAAAGAAAGAAATAGTACAGAAAAACTACGAGCTTTTAAAGCAAAACAGTCCAGAAACTGAAAAGTGCTGCTGCACTAAATTTGGCCCAGGTTCTTACACATCCAATGAAGTAAGGTCCTGAATCCTAGCATTCCCCAAAACAGAAACTATTTAAGCTGTTTTAATTAATTGACTCTCTTGGTTGATTCCATAGCATAATCCTATGACTTCTAGATTTCTCCAAGACATAAATGCCACAAGCAAAATGGCATAAAAATTAACACTATTGACAGCTGTGTGAAAATATCCTGAAAGCCTGCCTCAGCATGTTTGGCAAATCCTATTCAAAATATCAACGCTGACAAATATCTCTCCTGAAGTCACAGATGCATATACAAAGGTGTTATGTTAGATCACACAGTTCATATGTATTATCATGAAACCACATAACTTATTATTCAAAAAGCTCCAAACTACATTTCTATCACAAAAAGTAGAAACCACCAGCTCCTTTAAATGGAACTTGACCAAAGTCTCTTTCAATGGAGAGGCCAGCCACCATTTTTTCTCTGGTCCATTCTGACGGCTGAAGATGATTCTAATTTTAATTAAGAATAATTCTAATTCTAATTAAGATTTTAATGAGAAATCTCATTAAAACCTTTACAATCTCAAGTGAGATACTCTGTACTGGAAGGACTAATCCTTTACATCTTTCAGCTTTAGATATATAATGGTGAGAAGAGCTTGTGTTAGATCTTGTTCTGTTCGTATCAAAGGACATTGTGCTTAACATCTATGGCTAAAAAGATGGAAACATAAGCCTTCAGGAAAAACTTTAAAACTGCATTTCCTAACATGAAATTTCTGGTACAATCTTCAAAAGATAACAAAGACAAGGATCATCTTAGAACATATTGTCAAAAAATGTAGCATAAGAGAGAAGGCAGCATACTGACCTTAGTAATCAGTTCTGCTAGTGAAACAGCAGACATCTTAAGCTCCTAAACCCCAAAGAAAGCTAAGGCAGCTGGTAGCTCCTACTGCTGAATTAAAGTTTAAGGATGGCTTCCTTGCTGGGACTGATGTATAAGCTCAAAATGTTATTGACCATATAAATCTTTTCATTGTTGTGGATACAGAATAGGCTTTTTCAATTAAAGAGCAAGTCCTCCATTATCAGTTGAGCCTTGTCACAAAGTTCTGGCCACAGAAGTCATGAAGTATGAAAACACTGTTGTAGATGCAGCATGTACCTTACTGCTGGTGCTCCTAAGACAGCAAATAGTCTTCTCATGCTGCACATTTCCAGTATGCCAAACAGAAACCTAAATAGTTCAAAATTCAAACCTAGAAGGCAAATAAATATGTTGCAATAACAGAAGAAAAGGAATGCTGACTGGTGAGTAAAGATGGCCACACTAAACTGCAAGAACTTAGTAGCTTTTTTTATTGTAGAATTAAAATGACTATCAGACTAGTTTAATACAACAATATATAGACTTACTTACTAACATCAGGAGTTTGGATGACCACAGACTGAAGAAAGGATATAAGACAGTCACCATCTCCCTTTAGGGGAAGACAGTTCCCAGAGCTCTGCAAGTGTCTTACAGGCACTGACAGACATCTTCAGGAGATTTAGAATTCAGGCAAGTTCAGTGTTGCAGGGAGAAAGCAACAGCAGAGTGCAAAACGATTAAAGAAAGAGGTCAAGGAGAAGCCTGACTTAACCAACTGCATTCACAGATGTGGAACGATCCCGTTTTAAATGTTTTGTTCCAATGCAGGCATTGAAAAGCCCTCCCTGTGTTCTTATCCAGGCATATTAGCTTTGCTTGGGGAATGAAACCTAAATGCATCCCAAGTACTCACACTCATCTGTTCTATTTTCATTTATTTTGTACACTTTTTTCTATCTCTGGATCAAGGTGCTAGAAATTAAGCTAGTACAGCATTTCATTCCCCATTTTTCAGCTGAATTTTTTCCCCCATATTTGAACTGTGCATTAAATAATCCAGGGTGGGGACTTGACCAGCACGCAGCACAGCTGTCCTCTGGCCACATGCCTATAGCTCTTCTCTGTGGACAGCTTGATCCTCATTTTCGACTACCTACTTTCAACAGAGGCTTTGGGCTTCCCAAACAGAAAGCACTGAAGCCTTTCCTTATTCAGTGCAAGAAAACAAACACAGTTGGCATGTTCCTTCTAGACACATTTGCACAGCTAACATGTTTTGGAGCAAACAAAAACACAGTTAGTGAGAACAGATAAACTCAAGAATATGGCTGATGACAAAAGAAAATCCTACATGGAAGAATCAAAGTCTCCAAAGATGATTCAGAAAGCACCAAATGTCCCTGAATGGCAAACAGTCAGGAGCTATGAGGATACACAGGGGAAGCACATCTCCTTTTCCTGTTTTTAAAATCTGCCCTCCTGCCTACTATGAGAGACATGATAAACAGGCTAGGGAGACCTTTGATATGATAGAGGGAGACTGCCTGCGCTTACATTTCTGTGATTGATAAGAGGAACAGCAGCAGCAGTTAAAAAGTAGAGAGAAGGCAGCAAACTTGTTGCTCTGATTTGAATCAGCAGTTAAGAGAAACTGAAGGTAACTTGATTGCAACAAGAGACAGATGTTCATGCAATAGTCCTAGTTATATTGCTTATGAAAGCATGTTCTGGTCTCCAAGACAGGAGCATAAAAAGTCCCAAGATGTCAACACATACACAGACAAACTGAAAGGAGAACCCACTAACAACAAATCCTTAGGAAGAACAGAATACAGCAACTTTTAGTTTGTCTACTCATTATGCAGTGAACTTGAATTCTTTTCCTTAGAAAAAAGTTATCTCCAAATAATTATTTCTCAGCTGTGAACTTTAAAATGTAGGCAGTTACTGCAGCAAATCTGGCAAGAATAAATGAGTGGGTAGACTCATGCATAGTTCTACATGGTTGAACCAGGAAGGGTTAAACTGACAAACTACTTGCTTTTGTCTCCAGGCAAAAATACAATAAAAATTAGGAAATTTACTCTCGAATATATTTTAAATTAACCTGAGTTTTAAAGATCTCAGGAAGGAGTCTTAACTGTGTGGAACAGTATTACAATTCAATGTTTTTAAAATTTTTAAATTTTTAAAAAACAACAAACCCTTGAAGATACAACTGGCACATATTCTTCATTTTTATATTTAATACAAGGAGTATTTTTACAAGTTATTGTATTCAGGACATGAAAAATAGGTAGTCCATGAGGAAAAAGCCTTTTCCCTTCTTTCCACTTGATATTTCAACCCTCTTTTGAGAGAGATTTGGTCACTCAGTCTGAAGGTGACTGGCTAGAGACACTAGTTGTACAGACACATGCTCTTTCTGGTGTATTTCAAGACACACCTGAAAAAGACATTCTCTTTTTCAACATTTGTGTGCTGTTTAATAGCAAATCAGATGTGCTCCAAAAGAGGATAAAAATCAACCCCATTTTTTTCATTAGACTGGTAACATTTCCTAAAGGTTACAACACATACATAGAAAACACAAAAGCATATTTTCAAATTCTCACTTAACCCAGATTATTCTATGTGCTTGACTTGATCCAGAGCTCCCTTAAAGTGAATCTTTTCACCAATCCAGTGGACTTTAGAACTGGTCCTCAGCATCACCAATCCCTGTGAACACCACAACCCCCATTGAACACAGAGTGACTGTGCCAATCAGATTTAAAGAGTGTGTTCCACCCAAGACTCTGAGTAAAGAATGAAGTGGGAATTAAAACTACTTACCTGAAAGGCCTGTATACAAAAAACCTAGTCAGCAAAAAAATAGCATGTAAAACATTATAATGAAAAGACAAATTCTAAGCATCTGCATAAAACTCAGGAAACTTCATACTTCTCTTCTTGATGCTGGTCCTCTTGGTCACTGAGTTCATCATCATCTACCATGTGCCCAAATGGTTCAGAAGAAATTGATACCATATTAGACAGGATAACTCTGCTATCACTGCTTCCTGTAAGGATCAGCTGATCGTGAGAATGATTGTATCTGACATTCCAGACCCTAAAAAAAGTTAAAGCAGAAAGAACAAGATTCTTGGTAGGTAGTGCATCAATGTTAAACATTTTCTTTTAAGAGTGGCACTAAAATTGACCTTTTAAACATTGTAAGTATACATAGAAGTAACAAGCCTCATTTCAAAGACTGTTTTTTGCCATCTTCATTTGGCTTTTAAGCTTTCATATAATCTGTTTTTTATGAGGTACGTTTAAAATTCAACAAATAAGTTAAAAAAACCCCCACAAAATAACAAAACATACCATTCAGTGATATCATTCCTTGCGGGTACATGCCAATTCATTGTTGAATAAGTCAGATAAATATTTAAGTTCTATATATAAAAATTTCCCCAAAGCAAAATATGGATTAGAATTAGCCTGTTAAACAAAAATCTCACAACATTCTTACAGTGAAGTTTAAAATAGATCCTCAAAAATAGGATTATATTTCTCTTCAAATTTTACATATCAAGTTAACACAAATGTCTTAAGTTTCTTGTTTTATTCTTTTTCTTTGAATATTTTGGAAAAAAAAAGTATAAATTCTGCTTCTGTTAATTCACATCTTCATTCCCCTCAAAGAAGCTTCAGGGTCCAGATTTATTTTTCAATAATTACTCCAACCCAAATTTTATAAAATATTAACTGTTCATCTTTTCTTAACCACTGAAGAGTGCACATGTCAGACAACAGTCTCTCCTTACTCCAGCCACAGGCCAGAGCAGCAGATACAGATTCTAAAGGTTCTCTCAGAGAATAAAATTACTCACTTGCATATTCTGACTTAAGGACTTTGAAGAGCATGAAAAAAACGGGGCTGAATTACCAAATGTTTTAACCATTCGACAACAGAACGATGGATGACAGCTGCTCTACTGCACGTCAGGTGCATCAGATCAGCCTCCATTTGGGAAGGCACACCTGTGTCCCAGCTGCCCCTATCAGCCAAGGTCTGTGCTGTGCTTCTCAAAGGTGTATCCCAAATCCCAACAATGTTAACAACACTTTCTTGCCAATTAGACTAACATTTTCTTAACTCACAATTACGCAAGGAACACTAACATGTTGAAACTTTTCCTCTATGCAAAAAAATGATTATTCACAATAGCACAAACATAGTTAGTTTGCATTGTTCCTAAATGGTAAAATAATTAGCTGAATAAATTACATAAGCCATCCACCCACAAAACAGCATGCAGATAATTTGTTCTACCAGTGGGAATGCTCCTCTAGTGTCTTCACTGGTTCAGTGACATTCCTTGTGTCCCAGAATTTCACCTTGCAGTCATCTCCACAGCTAGCCAGGTAGTACTGTTTATTGGGATTAAAGTCCAGGTCTCGTACCAGCTGTCCATGTGCATTTTCTATGCAATATATCTGTCTGTAAAACACATTAAAAAAATTAAATGGTCTATAAAAAGCTAACTGCACTCCACTGACAGGAATCTGTTTCCCTGGAAACTTGCATAATCCCCTTAACATCCATAGACCTAGAGTTCCCACTGCTAGTGCACAGTTTGGGGAAATCCCAGCTGTTAACAACAGTGACTTGTATAGATTTCTCAGCTTCCTTTGAAGCTCTGCTCTTTCCATGTTTGCATTAGGATCATCTGGAGTTAAAAGGAAACAGTAGTTCCAGATGATTCTAGCACAGCTGTGTAACAACTGCTATAAAATGTCTGCTACTAAACCACAATATTTTCAGATAAGAGCTTCCCCACTCCTAAGTAGTTACACTAATTCTCTATCTATGACATCTACTCCTCCCTATATGAAAAGCAGAGATGCAAGGGATGCAAGAGATATGCACAACAGCTTTTTATTACTGCTCTGTAGTGAACTTACCTTCCTGACCTGTGGCACTTATCACTAATTTACCTGTGGCCCTTATCACTAATTTACCTGTGGCCCTTAAACTACTCAGCCATGTGCATACTCATCCATCTGGACCACTTGAGAAAACATTTGTAGCACTGCTAACAACCCAGAATCTCTACTCAAGCATCATGTTCCATTAGATTGTTTCCCTATCTCGCCTCTTCAACTTGGTTGGTTTTTTGTTTTATTTTTTTTTTCCACAATTGCATTATCAGTTTTCTCAAAGCCACCATCTACCATCTAAAGTTCTGCTTAGACTTGACAGTCTCCTACAATTTTCCCTAGAACTTGTCAACACTTTGTGAGCTTCTTCCTTTCTTTAAAAGAAAATGTTTCTCTTCAGAAAACACACTGACTAAAATTTCATATTTCTTGTGAAAATTTCATATTCTTATTGTCTTCTGTCAAGATGAAACAGTCTCTTGTTGTTAATACCTACAAAGCAAAATAGCTCCATAAGGAGAGATTCGAAGTATACCAGGCTTCTACTAAGCCCTATCATGACATCTACGGCAGTCACGAGTGAAGTTGCCTCAATATCCATCATGAACGCTCTTCTCTGAGTTTGAGAGGTTAAGGATATCCTTCAGGTATGCCTTTCTACCAAGTATTCTGGGAATCAAATTCAAACTTCCTCTTAATTTCTTAAAATATGTCTATGGGAAAAAATCTGAGTCTCAAGCATGCTTGTAGCAGTAAAACACTTCTTTATTGCACCTTTCTTTTTTTTTTTTTCTTACATTGCTCATAGCGTGTAAGGGCTTAGAAAGAAATATCAAAGTCCACTGTGTATTCAGCACTGCTCACCATGAAAGCCTTTGTTCAAACTTAACTGTTATTCTGACCACTTAATCCCTTTCTTTCCCAAATATGAATATTCTTTTCTTCACCCTATCATCCTACCTACAGCAATAATACATGCACTGAATTTCCCACTTATAGATCCTAAGATTAATGCCAGACCACATATACATTTTCTCCAGCTATTGACTCCACCTTCTCATATTATTCTTTGTCCATATTTCTTAGAATTTATTCTTGGAGTTTGAATTTTCCTCAAAATTCTCTCTCTAAATTGATTCAGCCTAGTGTCTGTCTCCCCTGCTTCACAAGCTCTTCTCTGAATAAGACTGCTTCTTAGTCTAGTCTAGGAGTCTTCTTAACAATCTTTCTTTCCTCTCCTTCTTTGATATCTCCAAAATTATGTACTCCACCTATCTCACCACTATCATAACCACACTCTGCAGAATTAACTACTCTGGCTCTTCTCTTTGCTGGTATAGCAGTTTTCTGCCCTTGATTCCTCCCTCCCCCCTCATTTTTTGCATCTTCTTATACTGCCACAGTTTATACTGCCCTGACTTTAAGCTCCTACTTCTAGCCTAACTAATCATTATCAAATATTCACGTAATTATAGACATATTACAGCGTAATCACAGATGAGACTTATTCTTGCACATATTTTTCAAGTATACTGTGAACAGCTCTTTGGCATTGCCTAGTATTTAAACTGGTTTAAGGACTATCTAACCTGAGCTTCACTTAAAGTAATCAGAATTGTAGGGTTTGTTTGTGTTAACCAAGCTACACCTTTCATTGAGGATCTTATTAATATCTGGACTATCAGCCTTCATAGAAGTTACCCAGAGAACTCATTTAATGCAACATAGAGATGCTTTTTCTAATGAGATAGAGCATGAAGCAGACCTCACAATATTTAACATTTTCTCTTTGAAACACAGGCTTTAATCTTAATAAAACCCTTCTCCTTCGACCTCTCCTTCCGCTTTTGTACACTTCATTTAAAAGAGTCCTTATAAACCAAAATATCCACATAAAGTTAGATTTTTATGTATCATTTCATAAGGCAAAGACCAGGACTTTCAAACTTGATGACAAACATACAGGAAGTACCTTTTAATTATTGTATTTGTATTTTTACCTTTCCTTGCCTTAATTAAATAAACCTTTTTGGTAAAAACATACAAAGCTGGCAAACACAGGGATTTATTGCTACACCTCTGAGTTGGCAGGAACCACAGAACTAAATTTAAAGTCATCCCCCTTTACGGCAACAAAAGTTATTACAAGACATCAGTCTTCTCGGTTTAGTGATAAATTACTATGTGCTAAAGGGATAAAGTGTATTTTAAAAAAGCTTGCACAGGCTTTAGTAGTCATGGCAACAGATGTGCACAACATCACTCCTTTGCTTATCAAAATCATAACTGAGCAGGGCAGAAAACACCTTATTAGGTATATTCAAAGCTTTTATTTGGTTATGATTTTGATAGATTCAGTGGTTTCTTAAACTAGCATCCTACAATCTTTAGTACAGAACTCCATTTGTTAAAATCAAAATAGTAAAGAGTGAACTTAACCTGTGAATTGCCTTCAAAGATTAAAATCACCTTTAAATAGTATGCTATGAAGAAAGTTCATCACATGGTCAGGATTGTTGTTAAATCATTTTCAGGTTGAGTTACAGAACAGCTTCATTAAGGCATTCCCTATGTATTAAACAAATCATCTTGAGATTGATACATAGTTCAATAAAACTCAGTGTATAAGTTAGAATTGAAGCTGAGGGGGAAAACCAGAGAAAGCCCTTTATTAAATCATAAATATATCAGCTACCCAAGCACAACTACTCCTTTTATAAATTAGAGGTTTGCCACATTCATTATCTAAAAAAAATAAAATGTTAGGAGGAATGAAAAAAAAAAAATCTATCTCCAAAGGAGAATGTCTTCTCTAGAGAACACGAGTGCAATTTCTCATTACCTCATGCTTCGCGTATCCCATCCTCGGACAGTGGTATCGTTGGCTGTTGCAATCTGTGTACAATTGTGGTGTGGACTCCATCTTCCAGAAGTAAATTTTAATTGTCCTTTCCCTTCCAAGGCTGCAGAACTAGAGAGCTAAAACAATGAAACAAAGCTGGAAATGTTTCCAAATGTAACATTACAATGAAATTAGTTCCTCTGAAGACAAAAACTGCTCAATAGCCTATTGCTCCAAGTGCAGACTACCATCTCCTAGGATAAAAAAGTAAAAAGAGAAAAAAATTAAAAGCTAGAGCTAATATTCTCTCTCAGAGTAATTTTTTCAAAGGCTTATGCACTGTAATGTCTTCAGAAATATTAGAAGTACTGTACTACTGTATATATTTAAAAAAACAGCTTTAGATCATTTGTTGAAACAGTAGATAGACAATATGGGCACACTGCAGAAATTTGTAGCTGCCTCACACACACACACACGCATTTAGCTTTGTTAACAGTCTTACAAGACTTTTTCAATGTCAAAATGCCAAATTTTATCTGTAGGAACAGAATTATGGTGTCAAAGACCCTTGGATAAATGTATAGCAGCTTTTAAAAATTTAAAAAAATAAAAAATAAGAAATATCAAGGCCCAGGTGCCCGCCTCCATTGAAATAACAGTAGATACTGGATCACAAATCTGCTATCTGTGATAATTAAAGGTTTCAGTTCCAAAACCAGGCTTACATCTCATTGAGCAGGCAGCTCTGCATCTCCACAGTTAATGAAAAGAAGGTCCAAAGTAATGAACTTTCTCTTTGAAGTTGTACAGCAAGTTATCCCCCAATTCCATGTGCACATGAGGGGAAATGAAGCTGCAGACACTGCAAATTACTTTTACTTCTAATCACTTTCTGAAACTGTTTAATATCTACAAGGGTGGAAGAAAACCAAAGTACTTGCACTTAATCAGATATTAAATTTATACAAATTTTGAGCAGTTAGGGAGATAGCATGACTTTGGTCACCTTTCACACAACTTCCATATTTCAAAGCATTTCACTATGAGGTATTTCATGAAAGCTGTGCTGGATCTTGTTGGATCCTAATACAACACAAATATTCTATTAAATACTAGATTTCTCAGCAGAAATATTACACTTTGATGGATGAAAAAGACTAAAACATACAAAGTGCTTAAATAAACTTTAACTGACATCAACAGAAAACTATGCTGTCAGTATAAGACTGCTTAAACCTATTTGTATATTGTGCCAATGTCCATTTATGTATTTTGTTAACTTTTTACTACTACAGCTCCACCAAGAATATCATATCTCTTTAGCATTATCACTAGAAATTACAACTCTTCTATCATTGAAGTCTACCTAATGCTACCTAAAATGTGTTGCCCTCCAAAAATTTTTCTGCCTTTTTTTTTTTTTAAATTCATTGAGTTCAGTTCCTCCCATTGCAGGCACCATGCCACATAGTCCTTTCATAACTGTTCTTGGCTCCTGAACCATCTTAGAACTATTTGCCTTTTCAAATAGCCTTATCATACTGGCAGTTCAGGGCTACTCTCACAATACCTAAGTAACAGAATCCAGTTATTTTTAAGTGCTAAGTTTCTATGTCACAGCAAGAAAATATTTTTATTCCTTAAACAGAAGTTTTCTGCTTTATACTAGAAAAATTAAACTAAACATCAAGTTCATTCCCTGAAATATACTGTTATTCCTATATACTGATGATTCATCCCATGTTCTGTCAGCAAGAATTTTCATTATTTCACTCCTACTTCTATTCCATCATTAAGGAGACCATTAAATAAAATTGATTCCAACTCTTTAAGAGCTAGTTTCTATCCTCTTTCTGATCCAGTAATTTTCCTTTTATTTTTCTTCTGACAGTTTTTTGCCCTCCTATAATTAATCTATGTTTATGCTAGTTGCAGTAATTATGGGGCACTCTAAAAAAATTCTCCACTGAACTCCACAAGGTATTTCCTTACCATGAGAAACAGCAGCAATCTTGCCAAGAAAGCATCTCATGCTTATTCCTAACATCCTCCTATATTTGGATACATCACTTTTATCCAGATAGCCTGTGAAATCCTCCCCACAATATATTCTGCCTTGCCTGGAATGCCACTGCCAGATACTATCTGTTGTTCTGAATGAAGACCACCTCTATCTTAATGCTGCTAAAGAATCCAGAAGAGACAAGAAATCCAGAAGGAATCTAACTAGTAACTTAGATTAAAATCACCAAAACCACACCTCTATTCATCCCTTCATGAAAACATATGAAAACCAGAAAAATATCTAGATTTTAAGATCTCCATTTCATTTTGTTGCACTTATCTGCCATGCCAAACATATTGCATTTTCCCAAGGAAGAGTTCTAGTGATTTGGCAACATCTGACCTTAAGTGTATACACAGAAATATTAACTGTCATCTTCTCAGCAGACTCAACCCACACCTTGTGGATTGGTTGGGTTTCTCTTGGGTCCAGCTAATGATTATAAATGGCAAAGAGTGGCTAATTTAATTGCAAAAGGTAATGATGCAGCGAGTATAAGATTAGTTTCACCTCAGAAGGTAACATCCTCAAAACAAAAATAAAGGGAGTGATCAAAAGGAAAGGAGAAGCTTGTTTTATTGCAAATACAGGCAAATATTCCTGTACTAAATACTGTAATGAGGAAACATGTTAGCAAAAAAACATTGAAAGGAAATAAAAACCCAACCAAAACAAAAGCAGAAAACACCCCAAACAAATCCAGCAAACTGTATAGTAAGTTATGATAAGAAAACGTTTTTTATAGCAAACTGACCAAATAATTCAGAGAACAAACATACCAATGATTCTATTACAAAGAAGCTGTGAACATATTGGGAACCCTAGAATTCTAATTCTAATGAAACAATGTGATTTGTAAACCACAGGCAGATACAAAAGATACATCAAATAAGACTCAGAAGGTTTGATCAGTGCAGACAAGTAGAAATTTTGGCCTATGCAAAATTTTCAAGACATATTTTCAGTTTTTCACCTGTTATACCTGAATTTTAAACAAACTTGTTCATAAACATGAAAAGTCCATAAAGAGTAGCATTTGGTTTACCACTTACCATTAAAATGAATATTGCCTATAATATATATCTATCCAAAAAGGAAGCAACTGAAATGTTATTAAAACAGAAAGACCAGTTCTGCAGCAATGTAATGAGTACCTCCTTATCTCTACTATCTGATACAGATACAGTGGACCAGATCTTACTTTTAGTTAACAACAATGATGTTAATCAACTTGAGCACCATCATGTTTTTTACAAAATAGGAAAAAAAATCCAACACGTGGACATTTTTATTATCTTAATCCTAGGCTCTTGATTTATTTAGTTCTAATAATATATATACACACACAAAGGTACATTGTTATTTCACTTATAAGTCTATAGCAACACGTATACTTTGTAAAGACACTCTCCCCTCAACAGTCCCTACAGAATACATGTTTACTAGTGTTGGGGAAAACATTAAGTGGAGGTAGCTTGGTGTGCAGCTGCAGTGCCAGCTGTACATTGAGCTCTGGGTGGCAGGAAATTATGGGAGCTCGAGGCAGGAGGCTGGGAACAGGCACTGACCCTTTGCACAACAAAGGGCAGATGGACCCGTGTTGCCCGCCATGTGACTGGACACTCACAGACACAGCAGGAGCTCCCAGACTTCCGAGGCATAGACTGTCAGGGTAAAAAAGCCCAGAGTTTCCTTTGTTGGGGTCCCTCCTTGGCACCAGCTCCAGCTGTTATTTTGTTGTTGCACCCTGATTAAGTTACTAAAGGGAACCAGAGGTCTGAGCCTCTGCTCTGGGAAACCTGGGGTTGATCGGGTAGGGAAACCTCTTCCGACTGTGTGACTGTGGGATGTGTGGGGAGTCAAGCAGGGACCCGTCAGCTCAGTGGAGCTGCCCACTAGGGAGGGGGCTTCGGTCCCAGCAGGGAAAGTCTCTGGCAGTGGGACTGTGACTGTGGGGATGACTCCTGGACAGTCAGACAAGGAAGTTTCCTCAATATGAGCTACTTAGTCACTGTCTGCTTGAACCAAACAGTATGATAGGTGATGAGATATCAGGTGGCTAAGAGTTGCCAAAAATGGACAACTTTTTATCTTAATGAACAATAAGCGCAATGTTTCTTGTCATTTACATAATCTGTCTGTGTATCTTAATATAAAGCAAATGTGTTTTTTCTAATTTGTTTTAACATGCCTCTTTTTTAAATGTAGCACGACTTGATTTTTTTTGCTGTAGGTATTCTGTATCAGTTTTCTAGGCCCAAAAAAGCTCTTTTTACTAATACTTAATACTTCAAGAAGTCTTTTTATATTCTGATCAAAAAGCATTAAAATACAAATCACATGTTTTTCAGAGTTGTGATATATTATGCATTCAACAATCCCTTATAAACAGGATACTCACAGAAAGAAATCACTATTTCACCAACAGTTCATTGGTTACAAACACTTCTTGTGCACGGTGATAACCAAAAGGAAAATACATCTACTGCTTACCCCTACCAATGTTATCTGTTTTCTAACCAACCTGTTCTCACAGATTTCTCTCACAGTCTAAATACTATAGCAGCTAAGTATGGGGTAGAGTGTTAATTTTTGGTGGAGGGTTTTAATTATTTTTTCTTTTAAAGAGAAAGCCATCTCTGTAACGAAACCTGGCTTATTTTTCTTCATTGTTCCCTGTAACTATCAGTCCTACATAATTTTTTTCAAATATAAAATGCTACATGGCTACAGAATAACAGTTACTGTTTTTCAGGCTTATATGGATTTTAATGGAGAGTTAATCTCTTAGGAAGGACGTGATCTTCAAAGATTTCAGAAATATACTGCAGTTATTCTAGATACTGGACTTCAGCTTGTCTTCATGTGAATTACTAGAAAGTCTATAGCAAGCATTTTAAAGAGATGCCCAATGCTTTCCTCAGTCTTGTTCAGCTGGACTCCACTTAGGAACCCACAGACATGTTTGAGACAAATTTGCTGCAGAGAAAAATTCAACAGAATTGCAACAGTCCCAGTCATACTTGGCTTAAGATTTTGAGGTGTGGAGATATGTCTGAGAGTCAAGTTTCCATGGACTTCACTTTAAAAGCATTAGATACTGACTCAGTATTGAAGCAAATATCATCTAAGAGCAACTCAAAATTGCTGGAGCAGAAGACTGATTATGGTAAACAGTTATTTTCAGGTAAAAAATTTTAATAACAAATAATTCTCATTTACAGTGCACTCTCATGAGATACCAGATTATTTTAGATAGAAATACAGAGAATCAGTCAAATTCTATATCAAGTCTCCTGAGAGCCTGCTGTAAAATCTAAATAACATTCTTAACTTCTGCAAACAAAAGTTGTTAACAAACATTTCAAAATGCTCCTATGTCAACATGTTGGCCAAGGGTTGATATCTACTTTCATAGTCTTAGCTTTCATGACTAGAAGCAGGGGGTTTTTTTATTCAGAATTTCACATTTGGTTTTACTTGTTTCCTTTTATCAAATGTAAGCATATAACAAATGTCACAGGTTTAGTCCCCTTAGTTCCTTTATCACTTACTTTGCCTTCTGGAGTCCTTTTGTGCCAACAATATTTGATGCAGTACAGGTATATTTTAAAACTAACAATAAAAAAATATTCTACATAAGGAACACTACTTGAAATATTGAAAGGATCAGCAAGCTGAATATTTCTTTGAGGACAGAAATATTGATTCCAAAAATCATGTTGAAATTACATAATTTGTTGAAGAGTCTACTCCTCTCCAAAATTATGCAGAGCAGAATGCTAGCAATGGAAGGGAAAAGAATATGGAAATCATAGTTATATGCACAAATATTTGTGTGATGGAATGAGGAGTTAGCTTTGAGAAAAGGAATAGTATAAGGAAGAGACAAAATACCAAATTCTAGTAAATAAATCCCAAGCAAAATATAATGAGGAATTAAAAAGGAATTTGGCATTCATTACAAGATTCCCACACAGAGAAACTGATAAACACACTGGACAGCATCCCAAAGGAAATAATATAGAATCACAGAATAGTCTGGCTTTGGTGGGGTCTTAAAGATATCTAGTTCCAACACCCTGCCATCGGCAGAGCCATTTCAGAGAGGTTAGGATTAGGAAGAAAACTGAGACAGTTATGAGAAAGTGGTTGGAACAGTGAAAATACTAATTAGCATTCAAAAGAATTATAGCAGGAGAGGACAGAACTGTCCAAAGAGTGAAAGTAGGAGAAGGGGAAAATGCTAAATTGTCTAGTAGTCCCAGTACTTCAAAGAGACATGAAGAGGTATAGCATGAAGCAATACCACCCTCGAAGTAGTTTTTCAACATTCTAAAAGAGTTTGTGTATTATGCAGGCATTAGAAAAGAAATACTAACTAAATGCAGGTGTAATGCAAATCCAGTGGATACAATGCCACAGACAAGCTCCTGGAGGCAAGCTGTCAGAAACTCTCAACATCAGTTTGATAAAAACAAACACTAATTTGAAGAAGCCTTGGAAGGCAACGTAACACCAATTGAAGTTGCAGGTGAAAAAAAAGCTGAAGTTTTCCCATCTAGTGAAGGAACCCAAAGGGCTTAATTATGAAAATAAAGGATTAAACTATATTACATTACATTGATACTATGTGAAATCTAGCAAAATAATAACTCAAAATAATAACTGTGTGCATTTCTTTGCACACAGTCAGATGGTACCAACAAAGAAGAGCTTATGGACACAAAAAAACCTCATATTGAGCATTCAGGAAGAAAAATTAACCCTGACTTTAGGAGTTAAATCTAGAAATGGCAACATATAAACCAAATAATAATAATATAATTAAATAATAATAATAAAAATAAAAATAATAAAAATAATAAAAATAATAAAAATAATAAAAATAATCCGTTTCCATTTTTAAGCACAGACACTGGCCTAAATGATTCTATAAAGAAACATTCAAAGTTTTCTATATATGATCAATGACATGGCATAATCAGACAAAAATCTATGCCAATGACACTTTTTTTAATATATGTTCCTGAACAAGAAGCTTTTAAAAATAACTGAAATAATCTGAATAAACAGTATAGTACAAAATAACACTTATATTCAGAATTCCAAAACAGCACATAGCAAATAGAGAAATTTATATTATGCCTATACATACAAGGATTGTAAATTAAAGGGCTGCATGCTATTAACCAACATGAGTTAATATACCTTTGGCTTTACTGATTACATTTTTCCCTTGTACACATTCACCAAATGTGTACATTATTTTAGATTACTCACTGCAAAACCAGTAGGAAAGGGGAAGTCTAGAACAAGGAAAATATTTACCCAATAGCTAGAGTTAGCTCTTAAACACTAAAGACAACTGATAGAATATTCATTTCCCCCCACACGCATTAAAGGCAACAAGATATTTCTGAAGCAAAGTTAAAAATATCAGCAAATTCTAGGCTACTGAATATTGTTGTTTGCACTACATTCGAGCAGATAATGTTCTATTAAAAAAAAAAATTCTTACCACAGCTTTGGCTGAACTTTCCTGCAAATCCCAGAATAATATGTTGTTATCAGCCAGTGAAATAATCTTTTTACCATCTCCCATTGGTTCCCACATAACACTGTAAAACAGAAACGGATAAACAAAAAAACAGTCCAACATTAAAACCAATCAGAATTTGAACCAGAAAGCCATTTTAATTCTGCAGATCTAATCTATTCCAGAACATACCAAACCATATTTCTTCTGGTTTCCTTGAGCTGAAAGCCATCCCATATTTAAGTGCAAAATCTGCCAATAACTAGCAATTTGTAGCAGTCATTCTGCATACACACACAGAAAAACAACCAGAGACCTTGACGTCCACTAACTTTTGAATGCTTCAGCCTGACACTTCAAAGTTCTTGAGATGTAATGTCATGTATCCTTTTTGATGGTGCAACAAAAATCATTTTTTGATTGCAAATAAAAAGTTTTGATGCAAATCTCTTCCAGTTCAGCAGCTGTCATCATGACTTAATCAATAGATACTTCTAACCTGTGATTCGCTTCATGCTATACATGAAAGAATGCAAGGAATCAGTCCTTCTCTCTTGTTCTGCCCTTGAGAAGCAACATATTTAAGCCAGTTGGTATGGGCAGCACAGCCAAATATATGCACTATATCCCTACTAAATTTGCTGGAGATAACAGATTAAAAGAGAGGCTTCCATACCCAACACTTTTGTAACAAAGTTGTGCAACCTCCCAATCATTTTACAGTAATAATATAGTTGAAGGTGGAGATCAAAACTTTAGTATCAATATTTTAACATAGAAACTTCTTCCCATCTGTAGACTAAAACTTGGGCTATTTAAAGGCATTTGAAATGCTGTTCTCATCTTCAATGTATATTCAAAGTACCATCTCTCAAAATTTGTCAAAAGTCCATGACTAGACACAAATTTTTTGTCTAGTCATTTTTTGGTTTGCTTTTCACATGAATCAGTTCAGTATCTGGACGGAACAGATAAAAGAAGGTTGCACAAGTAGATGCAGCCTTGGACAAGAGAGTCCAACATTAGGCAGCCACTACCTTCCTAACTCTCTGCTGCACACTATGCATGCTTCTATTTTATCCCAGATTTTGCATTACTCCTATTTTCCTAAGATGGTGGATATAACCTGTCTGGCTTCAGATCTAAAGTGATGGAACTCCATCTAATCTTATGGTACAAAATACAAGGAAAAGAAAACAGAAAGTGGTAGGTAGCAGAAAGAAGGGACACTGTCATTTTTTCACACCATAAATAAACCACATTTATTCTCAACTAATATGTTCTCAAATTCCTCTTGCTCCTTCTGTAAACAGTATCACTGCTTTTTACTCTGCACTTTTAGTAAAACAAACATTAGATATACAGGCAGATGACTGCACCTGTTTGCTGTTATAGAGAAGCCAGACTATGTAGAGAAAATAGAACTATGTCAAAAAGAAAATTAACACCAAGTAAACGAAAAAGCTGGAACTAAAGGGGTGCATTGGCTGACTCCTCACCCACTGAACTTTACCCTAAGGCAACATAGCAAATTAAAGAAAGGACTAGCTTCTGTGTCTATCTTCTGCTGGAATCATGACCTGCATCCGTATTATACTGTCAATTCATGGAAATTACCTACTTATAGAAGTCCATTTGTAGTGAGTTGTCTTGAATTAGGACAAAACCACTTCATATTGCACATTAAGCTACCGTCATGTTTTTAAATGTGTTTTAACGAGAACATGAAACTAGAATGATTCTACAATTTGCTTTAAATTAGGCTGTTTTGTCTGTAGTATTGATAATCTTATTTAAAAATAAACACTTTTGAAAAGTTGTGTGGTACAGCTTGGAAAAAACTTACAAGCAATTGAAAATGAGTGTTGATAATAAAAATGATGAGATGCAGTTTCAGTTACATGTTCAACCACATTTTGCCCATGATAATGAGAAGCAACCAAATGGCACTGCCATGTGTATTTCAGAATTTCATGTATTTGTGCTGCACAGATATATCAAATACCTCTGATCCTTCAAATAGATTAAAATATTTTATGAACACATATAACAGGATAAAAAAATTAATGCACTGTAACCTGTATGTGATCACAGCTAACCTGCCACAATCCAGTTTTCCAGTGTGAAATCAAAAGACATCAGGATCATCACACAGCTTAACAGGCAACTAAGAAATCTTCAAGTTGATTCTGATCACATTTACTTAAGTCCATCATTTTACATATTGCTGAAAATATAGTTGGCATTTGGTGTTGATACATGTAGATATATTTTAAGTATAGACAATGAAATCTGGTTGGACCAATTAACTCTTTACAAGCTCTTCCAGCCCAAGACCAGTATTTTTCATGCTTGTTGACGTATCTGCCCCTTTCCTTCACCAATCACTGAACTTCCAGTTGTAAAAGCTAGACTGGAAACAATTTCTTTGATGTTTTCAAAGATAGGAAGAAATTTCACATCTTTGAGTGTCATGGAGCTTCAAGGTGAAAGAATTTTTATAGCTGAATACAGTGTGTTAACTAGAGCCAGTTATAACCCAGCTGATATACCCTGGAATGAAAAGGTCTCCCCATTCACTCCATCCTTGTGTGATGTACATTTTATTTATGTTTAATTTTTATTTTATGAAAGTTCATTGTTTTATGAGTGTGGTTATAGTGATCATTCAGAGTTTATAATCTTAAGCAAAGGTTACTCAAAATACCCTTTGTAACATGTTCAGTTGTATTCTGTACTCTTGACTTAATGTTAAACATGAAACACCATGGAGAAGGAGGGGGGCGGGAAATACTGGGGAGTGAAAAGAAAAAATTACTTTTGAAGCAAGATACAAATTTTAGAAAAACTGAAGTTTTCATTTAGAACAGTTTTCAACACAGCAGAAGTGGTGACAATGGCTAAAATGGAAAACAGATAGACCAGGCAATACCATTTTCCTGAGTGGGCCAACAGTTGCTGATGCCAACAGTTTTCAGCAATGGACAAGATAATCGTCAAATTCACAGCTGCCACTCAGAAACTCAGTGTCAACTTCAGGGCTGCTCTTTAGATAATCTATAAACAGCAGACAAGCAATTATATTTGTTGCATTTTACCCTATTTGTTATCATCTGACTCATGATGCTTCAATTAAGCTCGTAGCTAATAGTTTTTCATATTAAAAAATTAAATGCTACAGAAAACACTTCCCTAGCAAAAAAATAAGAGAATTTAAAATATTCACTCAAATGCACACATGAAAGGACTCTATTATCTGTGTTTTATGCTGAAAAGATTGTTAACACCTTCATTAATAAAAGCACTGAGCTTTTACAAATGAGCAATTCAAAGTCCTCCATTATGGACTAAAGAAGAAAAAAGCAACATGCAAAAAAATTTCATAGATGTGAAATGCAGTCAGCCACAAGTGTTGGACAAAGCAAGCATTAACCGCTACTTAACTGTAATTACAGAAGTGACAACAATTTATTTCTATAAACAGAAAAATTTTGCTAGACTGAAAACTCTCATGCACTGCAAAACAGAAAACACACCCACACATTTGGTAACTCAGCAGACCATCCTCCAGCCTCAGTGTAGCCCATCAGAAAAAGTCATGCATTATAAACTCAAATATCCTGCCTTCTTTGCATTACAATGATTCCAATTTAAAGGTGACTCTTGCTTCTCAGGTGACCAGTACATTATTCTAAGAGGAAGGAGATCAGACCAAGGACAACCCAGAACCTCATTCCCTATCCAAGTGCTCTACGAAGTGGCCACATTTCTAAATGGAATCGGTTCTGGCTATTTCACAGTTTTTGAAGTCCAGTGCTGCAGGAATGCTTTGTCTCAAAATTCTCAGCCATTGAGATCTAATCTGGAGTCCAACTTCTCAAGACGCAGTAACACAAGAACCACAGCTTCCTAAACACCTGTAAGGTAAGGTGAACTTTTTAGCTAAAAGGCTGCTGAGAAATGAGAATTGAGAAATGAAGTTAAGGATTATTTTGGACAAGACCCCCAAAGACAGATGGGCTTTATTCTGGCTCTTAAATTATTTTTACATTCAGAAAAATAAAACTGCTTTACAAATAAATACAAGAGTATGCCAACAAGGAGGTGACACAGAAAAATTACTTACCTCTATAATATTTTTTTCCTAAAGTTATCATACTAGAGTATTGACAACATTATAAAGTCTTTTTGAGAAATCATAAAGCAGAACGATGAATAAAAACGGGTCATCCTTGACATTTGTGTTTACTTTGCTGCATCTCCTTGCCTACTGCAGCTGCAATTAAACATGGTTTCTAGTGAGAAAAAAAAAATTGTGATTCTTGCTTTATGGGCCCAAGTAATTTCAGCATTGAAAAAGTATTCATGTTCATGTAAACATAATAAAGACAGTCTGAATCCTAGGAGCTCACGATCTAACAGTAAGCATGGTAGTGAATTTGTTACAAGAAAGCAAGATATAGGACTCACTGATTTTAAACAGGCGCTCCTAAATATCCATTTTATAGAAAAAACTATTACATTCTTTTTGAGCTGTTCAATGATACAGGTCCCATTAGCTCATGGGTGAGGCTGATTCTGTGCTCAGAGAGAGAATCCACATGAGAATGAGTAAGAAACCCATGAGTAGCACTAATTAGAATCCAGGCTACAAAGTAGTTTTGTAGTATGATCTTAATAAGGTCATCAGAGTTCCTCATGTTCATTTGGTATCACAGATAGGTCTTTACAGTAGATTAACAATATTAGGAGGCTTACTTTGCCTGTTTGTTGTCATACGTATTTATTCAAGCCAGATTAGGAATATTAGCTCATATTTCCAGAAAAAAACTCTGCTTTCAAAGATATAAAAGGTATACGAGATTTTTTAGGACACTGCTTTCTCCTCTAAGCTCTGTCTCTTGCTAACATATCTGGCATATTAGATATCCTGGATTTCTGCTTAACTTCATACTTGTTGAGATAGACTGTTTTTTTGAGCTTGAAGGAGGTGATCTTTAAATACAAACCAGCTTTTTTTGATTTTTCTTTTTGGATACTTTTATTTTGGATCCTTCTTTTCTCGAGGGTACCTATCACATT